CGGATATATAGAGTTTATTAGAATTAGTACGTAAGGAGGAAAAAATAGCGTATAAGTACGCTATCGTAAAAAGATATATAGGTTATATTTAACGGTATAGTTTTATTTTCCTTTTCTCTTATACCTCCGTTTACTATTATATTCACGGCAGGACGCATCGAATAACGCGGCCGCTATTAGTCTGTAGCTATATAGTAGCGCGAGGAGTTAATAGATACGCGGTTAGCGCCCCCTAAATATACCTGCCCCCATTTTTCTTTTCGTCTTAAATACTATCTATTCGTGACTGGTCTTAAGTAACGACTATTCCGTCTAGTATACCCGCTACACACGCGTCGTATACCCCTGTCGCGGGACTACTCCCCGGGATACCCGCGGGACGCAGGGCTCTTCTCGCCTAGGGTATATAATACGACTATAATAGGCAGGCACTATACGCGCATAAGGATCACGCGGCACGGACCCTATACGAACGTATAGCCCTAAGCTATCTGCTCGTTTACGCCGGAGCTATATGTCCGTATAAAGCCAGAAGATAGATAGTCCGGGCCCGCCAAGGATATATATCCCCGGCGGCCTTCGCCCCTTAGTTTAGTCAAGATATCTTTATTACACCTTATATTTTATAGTAAAGGTCACCCCTCGAGAAAAGCCTGGCTTATAGGTCCTATAGTATTGGCTGGCCAGGGATATGCCTGGTCAGGGCATATCAGAGACGGTATTTACTAGTCGGATATTCAGGGATTTAGAGCTTCGGTTAGATTAATAACTATAGCTATATTACGATAATTAGCAGACTATTAACCTCGTTTATAAGAAGGCATAACGCCTGCGAATAAGGCTACGCCACATCGATATACATAACAAACGCATTAATAAAGGCGTTACTAGAGGCCGGAATTAAATTACTACAATAATAGGTTAATTTAACTGATTGAAAGGATCGTATTACGTGGTTAAACCGATTATATAAAGAGATTAAGCGCGCTAAAGCCGCAGCGATAACAACGACGGCCCCTAAGGGCGTGGTAGATCCGATAGATATAGATCTAGTTAAGGTAATCAGAAATAAGGAACTCATTACGATAGAATTAAATTAAACAGTTAAACAGGGCGGACTTATATCCCTTTTATAAGGGCGTTTCATACTAACTATTATTTTTACGATAGAAAAGATTAAGAGTGTTTAGTTTAAACCCAAGCCTCTAATTAGTTAGTTAAACTAAGCAAACTCACCTTAACTAATAGGGTGTATTATATAGGTACACGGACTATAGTATAGTCTCTAACGGATCTATATCTAATTGAGGGCTTTACACCTCGGAGATTAGGATATAATAGGGGTAGATACTGGAAAAGACCGGATAGGATTAAATAATATAGTACCTATAAACAGAGCCAATACCATCTAAATTAAGGTTATAAAAGACTTATACAGATATAACTTAATACAATACACACACACGAGATTTCTACTCTATCAGGATTATCACTATAATTATATTACAGGTGCTATTTAACGTGCGACAGAGTCTGCACCACCTACATTAGGGCTATAAGAGACTTATACAGACATAACTTAGTATCATACACACATACGAGATATCTGCTCTATCAGAATTATTATATAAGTGCTATTTAACGTGCGATAGCTAACGTTTCTAACCCTGGCAGAGGTGTAGATTAGTCTATGTATTGTATACCTATATAGGGGTTGGAAACGTTAGCTCGTGACTTCGCCCTATGTGTTGACCGATTATTGGATTTAAGCGCCGATCTATACTTTCCCACCTTTTTTATATAGGTAGGTATAAACAGAAATATCGCCACCCGACGTCACGAGCCTAACGTTAGGGAAAGTGAGGCTATCGCTATAGGTAAGGATATATTTTAGGGTATCTGCCACGAACACGCTGAACTTCAGAGACTTATAACTTTACTAATTTTATATTAATCCGTATCTTAAAGTTATTACCAGAGTTAACAGCAGAAGCCCTTTTTAATATGACTTCTAATACCGTTATTCCTTATTTATACCTTAACGACGGCGTCGTTAAAGATATTAAGATTTAACGCCTATCCACCCCCGACACTTCCTGGCTTTATCGCCTGCCTATTATCAATAAGTCGCTTAGTAGGATTATATACGATACGAGGATCTTTAGTCCGCCTGGTTCTCCCTCTACTACGCATTAGAACCGCGTTAATACCCGTTCTATTAAAGATAACCGTTAAGATACCCTGCTACTACTCCTCTAAGGTAACCTCCCCTAGCCTTAATCTTAAGAGCTATCTTAAGATATAAGACTAGAACTACGCGGCCTCTGACGTATCGTAGGCTAAAGCTATAGCCGTATTATAGCTTTCGCCTCCTAAACTACTATCTAACGGATTATAGCATGTTAAGTCTCGTAGGCTTACTAGGCCGAGGCTATTACGCCTCGGAGGTCTCGCCCTCGCCTTATCGGCGTAAGATTCGCACACCTCTAAGATATTAGATACACGAGTGGATATAGAAAGATCTCCTTTATCGTATATATAGATAGGGAAACTTATGCTAGCTTATGCCTAGCCTTACCCTGTACGGCGATATAGCTATATAGTCTATAATAAAAGATCTCGGGTACTTATATCGTATTCGGCCCTAACGTATCTATCTTAACCTAGTCTATAAGGCTAAGCGTATCGCCTTTGCTAAGAATATACTAAAGCTATTCCTAATATCTAACGATTAGGTAAATAGCCTTATCGTGATAGCTAATAAGACCTAGGCTATAAACGATCCGCTCTAGAAGTAATAGATTATAGTCCACGATATAGAGCGTTATAAAGACTTCCTACGACTTTATAGGAACCCCGAGGGATAGATATTTTAGGGTTGCTTTATAGAGCGTATAAACGGGACTTGCTTTATCTAGCCTAAAGAGTATAGGGGTAGTAATATGGATAGTTTATTAAATTTATCTGCCCTAAGATTAACCGCTTTATAGAAGAGCGTCTTCTGTATAAGATATATTAGTATAATAGGGCGCCCTCGTATACATCCCTTGAAGTTAAGAGGTGGTTTATAGCCCACGATATCCTCTTCATTAATTACCCCCCCTACTCTTCTGGACTAGCTCCTATTAAAAATATATAGTTCTTTATAAAGAGGTGAATTAAGTGGTATTATCTATAGTTTTAGTGGATACGCAGGGAAGAGCTAAAGGTAGTTGTCGAGACTGCTTAGGAAGTCGTAGATATAAGCTTTTTAGAGTTATTGGTTTGTACGATGCCTGACCGCCTGCGTTAGGTTATTAAGAGGGATAGCGAGGCTATAGACTATTAGATTAATAGTGTTAAGACGAGGAACTAGAGTTTTTATACGAGTCGAAGTACATAGAAATACTATTATTCTCCTTATATTTAGATATATCTATACCCACAGGGGCCCCCTGTTATTCTTGGCCAGTTATTTTCATTTGTATACGAGCTAACGTTTCCAACCCCTACACAGGTGTATGCTGTGTGACATGTCATGCATAATACAGTCAGGTGACAAAAATTTCGGGACACTTCTAAGAATACCTCACCACTATTAATTCCACTAATATCTTCTATGTCCTCTTAATATATTAGTTCCTAGTAAAAACAGTAGTAGTTGTATATTCTCGATATCTTAGAATCAGGGCTATACAATAATATCTATTAATACTTTATATACCACCCGTTTACCTTTATAATAGCCTCTATCCTACACGGTATTCCGTTAACCAGCCGTTATAATAGCTCCTATTCAAACTCCTCCTATACTATAACAGCGGTTCTAATAAGCAGTTCTATAGACTACTCGTTAGTCTTTATATCCATAAGATATAGCTCCTTACGGTAAATACACTCCTTTATTAATTTCCACACATTTTCTATAGGGTTAAGCTTAGAGGAGTATAGCGGCTAGTCCACGATCTCGACCCTGCTATCCTAAGTCTATATCTTTAACTAATTTTATACTATATTAGCTATATACGTAGGGGCGTTATCTTAGGCAAAGATACTACCCGGTTCGTATATCGTAGGCAGGTACTCTTTAAGGTAGGCCTTTATAACGCGCCCGGAAACGCCTCTACGCTTAGATTCAGGGTCTCTATATATCTAGTATAAAGATATACGCGAGTGGTATAAAAAAGCGCCCTAGAATATCTAGGAGTGTCTTATCGGCTTACCCCGAGGTTACACGTAATAGGGCCGTAATCGTTCTCCCTATAAATTTATTAGTATTAAAGAAGTCTAGGATATAAAGTGACTTACACTTTGGTAAAATACCTATTTCTAACGGTCACTATCGCCACGTGCGATTATAGATTTATTAGAAAAGATAACGCGTCGCTAGTAGTTAAGATCCTTCTTTAGGTGCTCTTTCGCGAAGGTAAGCCTTATAGCCGCGTATTCTTCCGTTACTTTTAGGCGTTAGAATACTCGGAAGTATAGGATACCTCCCCGGATAAGCTTGCACTTAATTATCTCCGGACTATACTATAGATTAGCCCGATCTTAAAGATCCTTACACGAAATAAAAGGATCGGCTTCGATAAATCGGAAGAGGTATCTTTTTTCCTATCCGCTAAGCGTTCGTGGGCGCCCTGGGCGAGGGAGTGACTAGGTAGATTTCTGGTATTGATACCGTTTATATATTCCGTGGCCAGTGCTAGTGGATACGCCTTCGCGACGCGTAATCTAATAATAGGATAACCCTATTTCGCGTAGGGTTATAATCTTCGCCCTCTTATAAGGCGAATAATAGTGGTTAGGGGTCTAAGGCTATTATTGATCTATAGTTATAGCTGTTTAAAGGTAGGGTGGTAATAGAGGTGTAACGCGTTGATCGTGTTAAAGGTGTGGATTGTCCCGAAATTTCTGCTACCCCACTGTACCATTGTTCTTGCTTTCAGGGCTTCTTTTTCCTAACGGTCCAAACCCACCCCCCTCTTGCCTGATCGCTCTCACTTGACCCCTACCTCCTAGGATTGAGGGGCTGCTTTTCAAGCGAATGTCTCTGCTTCGCCAGCCCACCCGTCATGCGGAGTTGATCTCGCGGCGAATCCCTCCCTCCCTCTTGCGAACACATTCTTCAGGTTTTCAGTCCCAGTCCCGGATCCCGTCTTCGTTTCAGCTGTGAGCAACTGTACATTCCAGGAAATTGATCGTCTCGGAGAGGCTAACATACTAATCAGACCAAGTTCTCATAATTGTCGATACTTCTCTTGCTCACAATCGCATTTCAAGATCATAGCAACCCAGCTGTCACGACGTGCATCTCGGCCGACGCACTATAACGCTCACGAAACCCAGGCTATCCGGCACTGCTCTTATCGACGCAACATGTGCAGACATGCAGATAACGATGGCGGCTCGGCTACGACCACCCTTGACCACGGATTACTGCCCACTAATGTTGTCCCTCGTCACTACGACCTCACTTTAGAGCCTCACTTCGAGACGCTGAAATTTGACGGCTCGGTAAAGATCGACCTCGATGTTGCTGAAGACTCCCGAACCATTACCCTGCACGAGCTGGAAATCGAAATCAAGCATGCGTCCCTGACCCTTCGGGCCCCCCATGGACAAGAGACAATCTGGAACGAGCCAGAGATTACCCACGATGAGGAGAAGCAGTCGGCCACGTTCGCCTTTCGCGATGTCATTCCCAAGAATTCCAAGGCAGTCCTGGATATCAAGTACGTAGGAGAGCTCAACGATAAAATGGCAGGCTTCTACCGCTCCTATTACTCCAACCCCGACGGCTCCAAGGGCGTCATTGCAACGACTCAAATGGAGGCAACCGACGCTCGCCGAGCGTTTCCTTGTTTTGATGAACCTGGCCTCAAAGCCGAATTCACCGTTACTCTGGTAGCTGACAAGGACTTGACGTGTCTCTCAAACATGGCCGTTAGAGATGAAAAATTACTTGAATCTGGCAAGAAAGCTGTCAGGTTCAACAAGACGCCGCTCATGTCCACTTATCTCGTTGCCTTCATTGTTGGGAAGCTGAACTACATCGAAAGCAATGCGTTTAGGGTTCCTATTCGTGTCTATGCTCCGCCTTCGGAAGACATAGAGCATGGTCGTTACGCCCTCGACATCGCCGCCAAGGGCCTTGAATTCTATGAAAAGGCATTTGGGATCCCCTATCCTCTGCCCAAGCTAGATCAGGTCGCTATGCCTGACTTCGCGGCCGGAGCGATGGAAAAGTAGGTACCCGAAACTCGACTGTAGGAGTAACTTGCTGACCCATGCATCCCTTGTAAAGCTGGGGGCTCGTCACATATCGCACTGTGGAGGTCCTGTTCAACGACAAGACTAGTGGAGCCGCCGTAAAGGAACGAGTATCATCGGTTATTCTCCACGAATTGGCACACCAGTGGTTTGGGAATCTGGTCACCATGTCCGGATGGAGTGGCCTGTGGCTCAAGTGTGTACTCCCGATATTTTCCCCCGATTCGTCGGCGTCATTGCTAACTGGTTCGCAGTGTTCGTGGGGCCTAAAATGCACAATTTCTTGCGGGTTGGCGGCTAATATCTCGCAGGAGGTTCGCACATCCCCCTGAATATGTATCATGTCAGACGGAGACGCGTTATCTTGACAATCTTCGAACAATGCCCCTATTTCTTCAAGCGAAAGAATTGCCTTTCCCCCCTCCCCTGGTCCCTTTAATTGAGCTTCAGCGTCCTCTTCTAACGGATCTCGAGTTGCATGCTAATGAACAAGTCAATAGGGTTGGGCTGAGTTTGGTGCTCGCTACTCGCTGAATGCGTTGTACCCGGAGTGGAAACTTAAGGAGTCTTTTGTCTCTGAAGACCTCCAATCTGCTTTGGCGTTGGATGGTCTCAGAAGCAGCCATCCCATCGAGGTTCCCGTCAGCCGGCCTGAAGATATCAATCAAATTTTCGACAGCATAAGTTACGCCAAGGGCTCCTGCGTCGTACATATGCTATCTGACTTTCTTGGCGAAGAGGTCTTCATGGACGGTGTGCGGAAATATCTCCAGAGACATATGTATAGGAACGCAAGCACCAACGACCTTTGGCTGGCTTTAAGCGAGGCGAGCGGCAAGGATGTTGCATCCATCATGGATATTTGGACGCGAAACGTTGGGTATCCTGTCGTATCAGTCACGGAAGATGGCTCGAATGTTCGTCTTGAGCAACATCGCTTCCTTGCCACCGGAGACGTCAAGCCGGAAGAAGATGAAGTCCTGTACCCAATATTTCTCAAACTCCGGACAGAGGGAGGGATCAATAACGACCTGACGCTCACGACGCGAGAGCGGGATATCAAGATTGAACACCCGGACTTCTTCAAGATCAACGCCAATTGCTCTGGGTTCTATCGAACCAAGTATTCCAGCGACCGGCTTCAGAAGCTCGGCAAGGCTGCAGAGTTACTAACGGTGCAGGATCGGGTCGGTCTTGTAGCTGATGCATGCGCTTTGGCAACCTCCGGCTATCAAAAGACGTCTGACAGCCTGACTCTCTTCCGGGCCCTGAGTGACGCAGGGGAAACAGAATTTCTGGTGTGGGACCAGATCCTATCCCGTCTCGGCTCAATTCGGATGGCATGGATTGAGCATGACGCGATCGTGGACACTTTGTTGAACTTCCAAAGGGAGATAACAAGCCCACAAGCCCACCAAATGGGCTGGCAATTTCTACCCGAAGATGGTCATGTTCAGCAGCAGTTTAAGGCGCTTATGTTTAGCGCGGCAGGCATGAGCGGGGACAAACTAGTCGTTGCAGCCGCTCAGGACATGTTTAAGAAGTTCATGTTCGAAGGAGACAAGTCGGCCATCCATCCAAACATCCGGGGAAGCGTTTTCGCAATAAACCTAAAGAATGGTGGCGAAAAAGAGGTATGTGCCTGTTCCTATCTGTGGCGTCTCGCCACGGGGTCCTCGCCAGAGTCTTCTTGGTTACGAACGGATTTGGCTCGCCATATTGTGAGCAAAAGTATACGAAAGCCATGAGGATTATGTTTCGGTCCGCTGAGCTCACGTTTCTCATTCCTTAGTACAACGCCATCCTGTCCTTCTATGAGACAGCCGAGACGAGTGATCAGCGCAACTCGGCACTACGTACTCTCGGTCAAACCCGAGATGATCGTCTTATTCAACGCACCTTGGACCTCCTCTTGAGCGGAAAGATTCGAGATCAAGATGTATATTTGCCAATCGGCGGTCTGAGGGCAACTAAGGCCGGAATCAGGGCACTTGCCAGGTGGATGCAGACGTCTTGGGACACCATCTACACCAAGTTCCCGGCGCAGTCCTCCATGATCAGTAGCATTGTCAGCTATTGTACTAATGGGCTTTCTCAGGAGAAACAGCTGGAGGAAATTGAACAGTTCTTCAAAGACAAGAGCTTGAAGGGATTCGATAGGTCTCTTAAGCAAGCCACAGACTCCGTGAAGGCCAAAATTCAGTGGCAGGCCAGAGACACAGACGACCTGCGTCGATGGTTGGGTATGGTCTAATGTCGACCCCGCCTTTCTGCCTTCCCACCCTTCGCTGAAGAGATATTCGTTCCGTCACCGACCGAGGTTCTTAGTAAGGAGTAACATGTATTTCAAAATCAAGACTTGTTCGGCTGTAGATATCGAAGACACAAGGGATGAATAATATACTTGAACAGCTTTTGTGGCGAGACCACACTGATAGTGTGTGAGCCACACCGCACCATTAACCACTAGGGCTAGGGTATATACACTATTATACTAGCCACTATCTAAGGCTAGGGACTATATATATTAGTGTCTTTACATAGCCGGCCGGATCTAGCCTAGTCTTAGCTTGATTATTATTACCTCTTCCCTTATATAAAGTCTATATCGCTATAAGTTAGTAGTAACTATTATTCTTTTATTTGATACTAGAAATCTAGTGCTATTAATTATAGTTTATACTAAAAATTAGATTTAAACTAAACTCAATAATTAGCGCGAAGCCGTCGCTGGCCTAGCCACGCCTAGCCTTATCTATCTATACACTAAGCCTTAAACACACTTACCTAGATTAAATATAGCTTTATAACGTTCTAGAAGCCAGATCATTACTCCGCTATAGTTAAGTATAAGCTAAGTTCTATTACGAAATCCACTCCGTTCACGTTATCGTCTTATATTAAGTGCTCGAGGTATAGAACATAGCTAATATTCACGATTTACGCGAATTAAAGGATCACTACGTACTCGAGTAGCTTAACCGCGTTAAAATATTATAATTAGCCGTTTATACCTTCCGAAAACGGGTTGCGAAGTTCTATAACGTATATATCTTGGAGGACTAATTATACCCTAGCTTATTACTAGATATACCTAGGGCTATAGCCCTATATATAGACTCCACCTAAGATATAACGGACTAACTAATATAAGGACTCGATTCTATCTATATTTGTACCCTATATAACTTGTTTAGTAATAGAAAACACCTATCCTTGGCCCTAAACCTATATAAACTATTCTTAAATAACACTCTATTTCCACCTTTACTACCTTAACCCTCATTCATTCGCTCCGAAATAACCGATATGAATTTACCCCCCGATCTATTATTAGACGGTTCCGTAATAGAGTAAGCTAGGGTAATATCTACCTTAGACTATCCTTATTAATCCTTAACTATAAAGGAAAGCGTATGTCTAATAGCTCTGGTTAATATAGTAGTACAATATATAGTCTTACTAGTATAAGAAGCTATATAATAACAGTAGGAAAACGTATAGTAGCGCTAGGACTCGGCTACTAAGCCTCCGGGCTCTAGATAAAACCATTTACTCCCCACCCTAAATACCTAAACCACACGTAGGTCTATAAGCAGTTCCGTACTATACATCATAGAAATAAAGATAGAATAATAAGTTCTATTACTATAATCCTAATTCCCCTTTTAATACCCCGTTACGTCCTGTTAATAGCGGTATATTTGATCTAGATACTAAAGACCCTAATACGGCGGAATTATTAATAATAGAACATCCATAATCTATATAGATATCTAAGGATTTATAGATCGCCTTAGGAATCTCGCTAAAATATAAGAGGAATAGGTTTAACGAGTCTAGACTATATACCTCTTGGGCAGTGCTCTTATCTAGTATACTAGAACCCTTAGTAAGACTAATAAAGACCCTATATAAGATAGACCTATCTATAATATTTATACTTAACTTACTAAGAACTTCAAACGCCTAATCGATATAGGCGTTATATATTAGTAAGCAGGCCTATTTCGTATTAAAGATATCGTAGCCGGTAAACTAATTAAAAGTTATAGTTAATATAAGGATACTATACTACGGTCTATAATTAATCCACTCTCTAATAACACGAACTATTAGTTATTTATCCGTAATAACTAGACTTACGCTAACTATCTCTATAATAGCCGGTCGTATAATAACTGTACTAATATCCTAAACTACTACAGGTCATTTACCTAATACCCTAGTAAAGGATTATATAATAGGAACTATCCTACTTTATAGTAATAAGGTACCGAATAGGCGACCACTTCTATACTAGAAAGGAAAATACTATTATAGAACGTTTATAACACTAGTAATAGCGGGATAGCGTAGGTCGTAGACATGCCTAGTGGCCGCGTAAGGCCGTGGGTTTGAATCCCGCTCCCCTTAATCGCGCGCGAATTTTTTAATTCGCGCGTAATCTACCCGGAGCTCCTGCACGTTATAGGGGTCCCCGCACGTTCAGGGAGATATTTATTAGCTTACGCGCTAATAACTAGAAGCACACTGCCTCCGGTATATACCCTTATTAGGTGGAGAGGGTATATACCTACCACACGTATTTAAGCGCAGCCACTATATATTAGATAAAGCGTAGTCAAAATCGTCACAAAAGAAGTCAAAATTAATTAAGGTAATTATGTATAATAATAACTGTGTAAGGACTATTAGAGAATTCCTGCCACCGTAGAATTAGTGGAGAAGATTCTATAGGTGTCTACCTGGATAATTACGTAACCGAAAAGACTATAGTCTATTCAACACATCCCCTAATCACCCTAAACGTTAGTTTAGGGATTAAAGCTATTCGTAACTGGTAGATATAATAGCTAAGTGATCTCTTTGCTGTAGCCGCACTTAAATTCATCCTCCAGGTCCTCTAAATATTCTATGCGGACTTCCTCTAGCTATTTTTACTATAACCGTTCCCGTATATCTATTACGCCTACCTAGGACCTAAGTATCTTAAATGTCTCGCAGTATAACGCCTTTATTAGGCCGTCTACGACTATTTCCCCGCTCGCTATATACGTTACAAGCATTTAGCCTTATTCCTTTACTTAGCGTAACTAATAGCTATAGATATCTATATAGCGGAGGCGTGTTATTAAGGTGCTAATCTCTTAATTAACTACCCGAATCGTTTAGTTATTATCGTATAGGATCCTTTATTCCGCATTATTAAATTCCACTCCTATACTAAGTAATAGCTATTATATAAAGATACCCTTTTGTATATCTTATACTAACGCTAATAGCTCTGCTTCGGTTATTAACGTTATAACCGTATCTTACTTCTTAGCACGCTACGCGATTACTCCTCTAAATAAGTGTACTATATATGCTTAACTACTTTTACGATTAAGGGTATTATCGGTAAAGGAGGCGTTAGCATACATTTTAATAGTATCGCTACCCCTTAGATCTAATATAAACGATTAGCTATTAATTAGATAAAGAATTATATAATCGGCGGCCTAGCAGTATATAGGCCCTAGATTAATATTAAACCGGTATAGCCTAGATACTATAAACGCGATATTAGGCCGCGATATCACTACTACGTATAGCATAGATCCTTTCTTCCGTTAATAGCTTTTAACTTTAGTCGAGGTTCCGAAATAGAGTAATAGTTCTACGATTTTAATTAGGTGCGTTAAGTGATAATTACTGCTATGCTTACTATTTAGCTTTAAAAGGCGTTCTAACTTAGCCATGTAATCGCGTTACGATACCTAGATTTTACAAGCGACGCGGTCGCGAATAACCTTAATACTAAGTAACTACTATAAAGGATCATTACCTTATAGGTTATAGTAGCGTTATATATTATTAATAGCCTACTCTATCTATACCTTATATTATTTCTTATAAGTAATAACGATATCGTCGACGTAGAAAAACAGGATTACACTATAACACAGGAAGTAATAAGGTTCCTACGGCATTATCTAGAAAGCGTCCGCTAATAGGAAGCTAACAACACTTTTACTAGAGTAATAGGGACTCCTGAAGTCTATATAACGCTTTTTCAGGATTAAATAACTCCTTAGGGCTAGAAAGCCTGGCGGCGGCTATATAAAGATATTATAGGGGAGTAGCGCGTATATAAACGCGTTTATAACGTCGAAGTATAATAGCATAAGGTGAAAACGGGCGGCGATTACTATTAACGCGCGGAATAACCGTCCGGCTAATATAGCTATATACGTCTTCTTAACAGAGGATTAATATTACTAATCTCCTCGCACCACTAGCCTTATCTTATATATATATATAAATCTATACTATCGAATTTATATATTATTACCTATATCGGGGTTAGAACCTGATTTCTATCTATTACTGATACCGGTACCTATATCCACGACCCTATCTCCTCGTGGCTCCGTAGGTAATCTTCTTATATCTATGGGAATAGGTAGCCGTAAGGGTATAAGGGTATATTGCGAGGGTTTTTCGGAGGAGGAGGGAGGTCTTTATGATAGATCTTCGAGGCCGGGGCCGTTAAAACCGCTAGAGCCGTGCTTCCGGAGGCTACCGCCGGTATTATATTTCCCGAGGCTACTATTAGGGCCGTAGACTTAAGTAATAGTAATAAACACAGCTATAGCATCATAATGGTAATCCTTTTTAACCGTAATTTAGTTAGCGAAGTCCTATCTTAGGTGTGTATATTTAGGGCGTAGTGGCTAGTATTGAACGCAGCTACCTAATTCTCTCTTTACCAGCTATCTCCTTACCGATATAAGCGTGCTCCTCTTTCCATAAGGAGCCTTATAGGCGTAGCTATAAGGGCATTGCTATATCGTATTCATTTCTCTACGAGGAACCCCGCTAATATAGGGGAATCACGATTTCCTAATATCACGGCTATTATAAGCGCTATAATCGATAGCGGAGTTACTAGTAGAGTAGGAAGTAGTGGACCGGGCGGATATATATAGTAATTAGGCGCTATACTAGCTATATCATACTATTCGTGACTTAAATCTTATCCGTCTAGATTCGAGATAGTCTCCTCCACCGCTTTACGGCCGGAAGCTATAGACTATAATCTTAACGGTAATACTAGTAAGGAAGGGGATCTAGGGGTAACTAACCCCGGCGAGGGTAAGGGCAGGGGTATATTAAGCTTAAAATAAGCAGTTATATAAGGGGGGGTCCTTAGCTTATACGTCTATAAACGGGCGTGAATCGCTAGCCCTCTTTTATTTAATCTAACTAATTAGGTCTTCTAATTACTCCTCGGTCAACCAACGGAGGTTATCCTTAAAGGTATTAATATCGCCATTAAAAAAGACACGTTCGTTAAAATCTATATCGCGTATACTAATAATGCGGTTACGGTTTCGGCTATGGCCTAGCACCTAGATACCGAAGATAGTAGTGGAATCGTAGCCGATAAGGTAGCGGATATAGATATAAGAAGCTATACGATTTAATAGCTTATTAGGGCCCTTTTACGCGTCCTTTATTATCACGTACGCCTTATAGCCATAGAGTCGAAGGTATAACAAAATCGGCTTCCTTT